AATAGTCTGATTTTTTTTTAATTCTTATTGGGACAAAACACATAAAGAAATAGGAGGCACTGAATACAGTCCAGACTTGAAGGATAAAAAGTTTTTTGAAAGCCTGTTTTTACCATATGAAGGATTCCTGGAAGTCTTCAGTTTAGGCCGCCACACTTTTAAACAAGCAACTGCAAAGAGTTAATTTTGAGTATTTCTAGACTAGGGCATTAATGTTAAAGAAAGTATTACATTTTTCAAAAGAAAGGGAGAAAAAAATCCCCTTCTACTGTAGTTATGCATTAATAAAGAATTATAAAATTTTTATTAAAATATTTTATTTCTAATTCAACTTTCTTTTGAAATGGAAGAACACAGGTAAACTTTAATTTATCCTGGCTTGGCTCAGAGACTAGGCAAACCTTATGAGGGCTGCTGTCTGATGATAATTCTAACTTTTACCACCGAAGTGCACAGATTTTTCCTATTAGAATTATATTCTTTCCTGAGTTTGTGCTGAGCACAGCTAGCCCTCTCTGCTTTATTTTTAAATTATTCTAACCCTATACTCCAAATTCCATTAACGTTTTTGAGAAGAAGGCAGCAGAGTGCAATTGTTTAGAGTACAGTCTTAGAAAAAAGGAAACCTTGAGTATTAAACATGGATTTGCTCTGACAAAAAATTATAGCAGTATTTTCTTAGGTCAGTCTCCCAGGGCAAGAGAAAGAAAAGCAAAAACAAACAAATAGGACTTGATCAAACTTAGAAGCTTCTGCACAGCAAAGGAAACCACAAACAAAACAAAAGGCTGGGAGAAAATATTTGCAAATGATGTGACCAACAAGGGTTTAACATCCAAAATATACAAACACTCATACAACTCAATATAAAAAAAAAAACCCAATCAAAAAGTGGCCAGGAGACCTAAATAAGCATTTCTTCAAAGAAGACATACAGATGGTCAACGAACATACGAAAAGATGCTCAACATCACTAATTATACAATGAGGTATGACCTCACATCTGTCAGAATGGCCATGATCAAAAAGTCTACAAATAATAAATGCTGGAGACGGTGAGGGGAAAATGCAACCCTCCTACACTGTTGGTGGGAATGTAAATTGGTGCAGCCACTAATTTGAACACTAATTTGAAACTCTAATTTGAAAAGATCCGTGCACCCTAATGTTTATAGCAGCACTATTTACAATACCCAAAGCACAGAAGAAACTTAAATGTCCACTGAAAGATTATTATATAAAAAAAGATATGGTATACACACACATGCATGCACACACACATGCACACACAATACAATACTACTCAGCCATAAAAATTAATGAAATAATGCAGCAACACGGATGGACCTAGAGATATCATACTAAGTGAAGTCAGCCAGACAGAGAAAGGAAAACACCATATGAGATCGCTCATATGTGGAATCTAAAAAAAAAAATGAACATAAATACAAAACAGAAACAGATTCATAGTCATAGAATACAAGTTTGTGGTTGCCGGGGGGAAGGGGGTTGGGAAGGGACAGAGTG